TTTTTTTTTTTTTTTGATGCAGTTGATACAACACTGAGAGAGCGTGATTCATACTTCACCAACTTCACCAGACCTTGTTGACGGCTCAAGAAAGGATGAACTATTTTGTAGATAAACACAGGACTGAGCGTGAATTTCAGATAGGTGACTGGGTGTATTTGTGGCTCCAACTGTATCGCCAAGCCACTCTTCGCAGCTCTCAGTCTCTATAAACTCGCTCCTCGCTATTACAGTCCCTTCTAGATCACTTCTTGTGTAGGGACTGTAGCGTATAAACTGGCGTTGCCAGTCACTGCCAAAATCCACAATGTCCTCCATGTCTCACTGCCTAAAAAGAAACTTGGATCTTCCATGGTTCCTAGTCCCACCTTACCACCCATATATGATGGTGCAGTCAGTTGGACACCCGCAAAAATCCTTGATTGAGGCATTTTCAAGGGTCAAAACAAGCCTGTGACTCGATGGCTGATATAATGGGCAGGCTTACCCACTGAGGATGCTACATGGGAGGATGCATTGGACATTGAAACCTATTTTCCTTCCTTCCAAACCTGAGGACAAGTTTATTCTTAAGGGGCAGGATTGTTAGGACCCTATCACTAGTTTATCACCTATCTATTTCCATTAAGAATAAAGGCTAGCAGTGTTCCTTATTTGTAGGGAATTAGTTGTCCTGTGGCCATCTGGCATTTGAGAGTCTGTATATATCCTTCTCGTTGTTTCTGAGAAAGGCATGAAATGAAAAAGTTGTTTTCTTCCTTTTATTTCCAATTGCTATTTCCTTACCTTTTCCAAATTAGGTTTTGGGTCCCAACATTGGTTCTTGTGAACATTTTATTTTCCATTTTGGTCATTTTTCTGGAGTTGTGCTTGAGCATTTTCAGTGATGCAGACAGACATTTACTTGAGCACCAGCAATATACAATATAGACAGGAATTTTCACAAACACGGATAGAGAAAAGAACTAATCTGAGCCAGTTTCCCATTAACAACAAAATGGCTTGAAGACAAACGAAAAAAATTTATCAACCACTCTGATTTCATCGACTTTTCCTCATTTTAGATTGAGGTCTCTGTTTTGGAGTGTTGCGACTCGCAGTTCTAGCAGTACGTGTTGCACTGTCCATTGTGATTCTTGAGGGCATTTTGATTGGCACTGTCCTCATTTTGGGTCGAAAAGTTTGGGGCTACTGTTACAGCAGTGAAATGGAAGTTGTGAATTATGTTGGAGAAATGTTGATTTTGGTTGCAATATCCCACTTTTTTGATGGACTTCAGTCTGTGCTATCAGGTTTCTGCAGTTTTTCACCATTTCCTCTCTCATAACAATAGATTTTTTTTCCCTTCTGATTCTGGTTTTGCAAACCTTTATGCAATACCTGGCATAACCTACAGCTAAAACTGAAGTCAACAGAACAAAAGATAATAAAAAGGTTTTACTCAACTCATATGATCAAACTGTGGGATTCAATACTACCCATATGCCGCGGTTTCTCATTTTCAGGGAAGATTTTGTCTACAGATTGTGTTGTTATTTTAGATTTTGGTTTCTGATGATTGTGTATGTGATTTTAATATGTGTTTTACTTTTTTGTGGGCTGGATGACGAACACGAGAGAATTGCAAATCTTCTTATGTTTGGTTAATTTCTTTTTTATTTTCAAAAAATAATTAAAAATTATACCTGGTGAAGTTCATACTTTTTTGAAGTGACTTGAATTTACAATTTCAGGTGTCATAAGAGGAAGTGGACAACAAAAGATTGGGGCATATGTTAATTTGGGAGCTTACTATCTTATGGGCATTCCAACTTCAGTTGTATTAGCTTTTGTCCTGCACCTTGGAGGGAAGGTGATATATATTAGTCCTTGTACTGCTATTTTTTCAAGTCCCCTCCCTCTTGTTGCACATCTGAATCTTTCAGGACCATTACATTGATATCAGATTAACATGTTTTTGCAGGGTCTTTGGACCGGAATTATTGTGGCTCTATTTTCCCAGACACTATTTCTTGCAATCATAATCACACGCACAGATTGGGAGAAAGAAGTAAACTACTTTGTCATGCTAGGTTTCATGTATCAATCTCTGTTACATTCATCTTATATATGCTCGATTTTTCATTTCCTTTGTAGGTGAAGAAAGCATCTGATAGAGTGTACAACACAAAGACCGCGGCCAATGTGTCGTAGCAAAACTGGTGCTGAAGTCATGATCATTTTAAATTGTTAGGTTGGCATCTTCAAGTTGGTTGTTTGTACCCTATCACTAGTTTATCACCTATCTATTTCCGTTAAGAATAAGGGCTAGCAGTGTTCCTTATTTGTAGGGAATTAGTTGTCATCTAGCTGGCCTGTGGCCATCTGGCATTTGAGAGTCTGTATATATCCTTCTCGTTGATTCTGAAAAAGGCATGAAATGAAAAAGTTGTTCTCTTCCTTTTATTTCCAATTGCTATTTCCTCACCTTTTCCAAATTAGGTATTGGGTCCCAACATTGGTTCTTGTGAACATTTTATTTTCCATTTTGGTCATTTTTCTGGAGTTGTGCTCGAGCATTTTCAGTGATGCAGACAGACATTTACTTGAGCACCAACAATAGACAACATAGACAGGCATTTTCACAAACACGGATAGAGAAAAGAACTAATCTGAGCCAGTTTCCCATTAACAACAAAATGGCTTGAAGACAAACGAAAAAATTTATCAACCACTATGATTTCATCGACTTTTCCTCATTTTAGATTGAGGTCTCTGTTTTGGAGTGTTCCTCTTTGCAGTCTATGATATCGTATGACCAAAGAGATAATGGTGGACCGAGATGGACATATAGGCCCCGTTTGGTGAGCTGGACTGAATTGGTTAGGATTGGACTTTAAGTATTGAACTGGGTTGGCTTGGATTGGCTTGGATTTTTTTCCCTTCTGATTCTGGTTTTGCAAACCTTTATGCAATACCTGGCATAACCTACAGCTAAAACTGAAGTCAACAGAACAAAAGATAATAAAAAGGTTTTACTCAACTCATATGATCAAACTGTGGGATTCAATACTACCCATATGCCGCGGTTTCTCATTTTCAGGGAAGATTTTATTGCTGATTTGATGAAAAGAAGTGACTTGAATTTACAATTTCAGGTGTCATAAGAGGAAGTGGACAACAAAAGATTGGGGCATATGTTAATTTGGGAGCTTACTATCTTATGGGCATTCCAACTTCAGTTGTATTAGCTTTTGTCCTGCACCTTGGAGGGAAGGTGATATATATTAGTCCTTGTACTGCTATTTTTTCAAGTCCCCTCCCTCTTGTTGCACATCTGAATCTTTCAGGACCATTACATTGATATCAGATTAACATGTTTTTGCAGGGTCTTTGGACCGGAATTATTGTGGCTCTATTTTCCCAGACACTATTTCTTGCAATCATAATCACACGCACAGATTGGGAGAAAGAAGTAAACTACTTTGTCATGCTAGGTTTCATGTATCAATCTCTGTTACATTCATCTTATATATGCTCGATTTTTCATTTCCTTTGTAGGTGAAGAAAGCATCTGATAGAGTGTACAACACAAAGACCGCGGCCAATGTGTCGTAGCAAAACTGGTGCTGAAGTCATGATCATTTTAAATTGTTAGGTTGGCATCTTCAAGTTGGTTGTTTGTACCCTATCACTAGTTTATCACCTATCTATTTCCGTTAAGAATAAGGGCTAGCAGTGTTCCTTATTTGTAGGGAATTAGTTGTCCTGTGGCCATCTGGCATTTGAGAGTCTGTATATATCCTTCTCGTTGATTCTGAAAAAGGCATGAAATGAAAAAGTTGTTCTCTTCCTTTTATTTCCAATTGCTATTTCCTCACCTTTTCCAAATTAGGTATTGGGTCCCAACATTGGTTCTTGTGAACATTTTATTTTCCATTTTGGTCATTTTTCTGGAGTTGTGCTCGAGCATTTTCAGTGATGCAGACAGACATTTACTTGAGCACCAACAATAGACAACATAGACAGGCATTTTCACAAACACGGATAGAGAAAAGAACTAATCTGAGCCAGTTTCCCATTAACAACAAAATGGCTTGAAGACAAACGAAAAAATTTATCAACCACTATGATTTCATCGACTTTTCCTCATTTTAGATTGAGGTCTCTGTTTTGGAGTGTTCCTCTTTGCAGTCTATGATATCGTATGACCAAAGAGATAATGGTGGACCGAGATGGACATATAGGCCCCATTTGGTGGGCTGGACTGAATTGGTTAGGATTGGACTGGGTTGGCTTGGATTGGCTTGGACTTTTAAGTCCTATCAGTTGTTTGGTACATCAATTTGCTGGACCAGACTGGACTCTTGGATTTCGATTTTTTAATTAAATTTTAGTGTTTATTTCATTCTTTAATATCATAAACAATTACTAAAATAGACACAAAATTAAAATTAAAAAGCATCAAATTAAATAATAAATTATTTAGATTGGGACTTATATCGAACATTGATATTATTCATTAACCCAGAACAACTGAGATTATGTCTACAGATTGTGTTGTTATTTTAGATTTTGGTTTCTGATGATTGTGTATGTGATTTTAATATGTGTTTTACTTTTTTGTGGGCTGGATGACGAACACGAGAGAATTGCAAATCTTCTTATGTTTGGTTAATTTCTTTTTTATTTTCAAAAAATAATTAAAAATTATACCTGGTGAAGTTCATACTTTTTTAAGTTGTGTTTTTATTTTGGGATCCTGTGAATTTTTATTTCCTATGTTTATTATCATATTTTTGGATTCTTTAAATCTTTTTAAAGTACTTTTAAATTTTACTGTATTAGCCAAACACTCAACAAAATATCAAAAGCGCTTTATGTAGTGTAAAAGCACTTTTAAATGTGACATCCAAACGACAAATTGCTTCTTTGTAGAAGCGCTTATGTCATAAGCGCTATGGGCATAAGCACTACCAAACGAGCCCTAAATTAGATCAACTCATCAACAAAATTCCAACAAAAAAAAGAAAAAAGAATTCGAGTTTAAGGAATAACTAGAAAATGAAAAAAAGAATTATGGTGAAAAGATCCTTTTCTTTTAGGCAAAACGTTACTTTTGGTCCCTGTGGTTTACCACTTTTACCACTAAGGTCCCTGTGGTTTCAATTTGATCATTTTTGCCCATGTGGTTTTCAATTTAAGCAATTCAAGTCCAATATCCAATTTCTATCAAATTAGGTTAACTGGAGTTACTTGTTGAGGGGCATTTAAGTCCATAAACAAGAAAGATTAAAAAAAAATTATTTTTTAAAAAAAGAAGAAGAAAAAGATAAGGGGAAGAGAAGCCGTCAGCCACACCCACCCACACCAGCCCACATGCCAACCACCACACACGTCCCAATCTCCCCAACCCAGTAAACTCCACCACCTCGAAAATCTGCCCCAGATATTATGGAGGTTCTCAGTTACTTGTGACCTAGACTTTTCATTCAAAGCTGAAGCCACAAGATTCCTTAGCTCCTGTAAACGCAGAGCACAATACTGAATTGTAGCATCATGGCATTGGAGTGCTAATCCAGCATTCATCATTGGCTCACAAATACGAGAAAACCACTCCTCACAGAATTTCTTGTTAGCTTGAAAGAATAAGGAACTAGAGCAAGTAGCAGACGGTAAAACAGCAGATCCCTCATATGCGTTATATACAATTTTCTTCAGCGCCTCAACAAAATCGAATAGTAACCTCACTGGTAACAAATGATCACCAGATGACCCTATCATACTCAAATTCCCATCATTTTGCTCATTGTCAAACATTAGCAGGTGTCCAACGTCCAAAAGCATTCGCTCTAATGCTGCAAAGTCTGACGGGCATTTATTTGTTGTTTTGTATTCATCCAGTTTTGTTGGCTTGGTTGCATGATTATAACATCTCTTTTCAATCTATTCAGTGCCAAAGAGCTTTCTGATGTATGGGATGGGAGACATGTGATAATGGTGGACCGAGATGGACATATAGTGTCACGCCCCAACCCACGGATTTAAGTAATTTTGGGTTAAGACGTGACAAGTTGGTATCAGAGCTAGTTTTACGGTTTCATTAAGTTATTTTGTTATTTAAAACTAACCTGTTAAATTAATGTTTAGGATGCAACCCGATCATAGCGATGATACATGGGGAGGGTTCCAAATGGGACCCGATGGCCTTATCCCAGTAGACGAAGAAGAATTCCACAGCCGTATACGCCACCAAGCTTATGTGGATGTAGTTAATGAAGTCATAGATACAGGAAATAGAAGGATGTTTTATACACCAGAAATGCAGAGACTAGTCGTTAGACGTCGGCTGCAGGCGAACAATATTAGAAGTCAGTATCAATTAAATATTGAAGAACACTCCTACAACCAGGTGTTAGAAGATGCTGCAATTATAGCTGCTGATATGTGGCCACCACCAGGGGTAGACTTACCATATGTTCCAGAACCACAGGAGTTAAACTTACCCCATGTCCCAGATCCAGGAGATGAAGCATTTTTGGAACTTTTGGACCTTGATGCTCTATCTGCTGAGTCTGTAGGGTCAGCTGCTTCAGTGGTTATCATTGAACCACAAAATTCTGATCCAACTGTCATCAATCTAAGTTCTGATGATGAAAATGAACATCCTGAGCCTGTTATCCCTCCCATCGAAATTATAGATATTAGTTCTGATGATGAATAGAAAGTTTGACTAATAA